GGGAGCGCTCCAGGCAGAGGAAGGGGAAGAAGCGGCTGACGCTGGCTGCCCTCCTCTACCTCCTCTTCATGACGGGGGAGCTCATAGGTGAGTCGGGGGCTTGCTTTGCCGTCTCGCCGGCCCGGGTGCCTCACAGCCCGTTACGCTGCTCCGGCCTCGTCTTTAAGTATTTACTAGGAGAAACCGTCTGTCATTTAGAGAGATCAGCTGCAAGTTCAGAGAGTGAGAAGGAGCAAAGTCCACCTGTATTTTCCATGCAAGAAAAGAAAGAGGAATTTGCAGCTTCCCTTACCTGAATCTCATCAGTCCCCCCAAATGGCATAAAATACACATTTTTTGTATGTCTGATGGCTTTTTATTTCTCCTGTTTTGTAAGTCTGTAAGGTGTTTTTAGCAAGGGAGAAATTGCATTTTATTGCAGTCATAAACATAATAGGATGAATAATTCCATCCTCGGTATTTTTTAATTACTGCCATAAAATCTTGCTGTGTTTGCAACAAGAGAAGAGGGAAATACAGTTTCTAAGCATGATACACTCTGTTGCTTACAACTGAAAAGACAAATCATGAGCCATCAATAACAACCCAGCGAAGAAGCCACTCTCTTGGCAGCTTCCTGATGTCCAGCTGTGCTCTGGACTAGCATATGCTCCACCCAGACATAAATCTTACGAGCAAAGTCAATTAAAATAATAGGTATTTTAACACTTCCCATTACAACACGTAAGAAAACCAAGTAGTTTGATTAAACTCGTTGCGGTTTTTGTTTGTTAGTACTTGGCAGAAGTATGGTGGGTTTTTACCTGGAAATTTGTTCCTGTAAAAGCATCTGATTGTTGTTGGTCAGAAGAATGAATCTGGTGCTCAAGTTCAGCTTTTATTGCTCCCTCATAAAGGCATGCTATCCTTTGCTGTTCAGCTTGAAGAGAACCTGTGCATTACACAGCTGTCTCTGCGGAATGACAACGCTTTATTTAATAGGCTACAGTAGCATAGGCTTGAAATAAAATTAAATTTGAAAGTCCCTTGGATGCATAGGTGAGCTATAAATGGCCTTCGCCATTATCTAATCAATTTTGCAAAGCGTAGTACTTATCTTTTAATCTCTGTTCAGTTACCAATTTAATATCGGCGTCCTGTTGCCTTCTGTCTTTGGGATGCGTCCATGCCATTCAGGGCAAGCGTCTGCTTGGTGCTAGTCAGCCTCCTGAAGAATGCTTAAACCCTCTCATCCACTTTCCCCTGATTTGAAGTGGTGGGGAGCGTTACACAGTGCCAGTACATTGATGTGTATGTTGAGCCAGGTCTCTCTGGCAACTCCAACAATTAATTGCTTTTAAATTCCTTCCATTTTAACATACAAGTCTAAATCAGAGCTAATCGGATGGATTATTGGCCATAATTCACCAGGGGGAAAAAAAAATCAAGTTACAAAAACTTTCTGGAAGTAAAGAACAGAGACGCCTCAGGTGTGGTAACACGGGATCTACGTCCTCCTCCTCACCTATGCAAATTTGGTCAGTAATGACTGAAGATGCAATGTTTGCTTGCGTGAAGCGAGCTCTCACGCTCTTGGATCACTTGTCCTAGGACAGCTGTGAATTGTATCTTTAAGACAGAAACTCCTACAAGACGGACAGGGAGCAAAATAATTGCTTGAGTATAAATAATACAGTTGTCCCACATACACAGAAAAAAAGCCCTAGGAGAAATGGTCCGTTTTTCAGAGAGAGCCCAGAATACTGGCTGTATCTGCGCCAGTTTTATTTGGGGCCTTACTTCAGGAACGTGGGTTAGTGGAAAAAAGTGGGTTTGTCCTTCAACACCTCTCAATGTGTGGTTAGTCATTAACAGCACTGCCACAATACGTCAGCTCATCACGGATAAGGCACTTCGCATCAAACCTGTTGCAGGGATCTGGCTGAACGCCTCCATTTGTCCCCTGGCTCCATTTTTTTCTCTGGCTGA